GAGGAGGAGGAGGAGGAGGAGGAGGAGAAAGGACTGGGATTGAAGGCAGTCAGGCCTGTGTCAGGTCACAGCAAAGCCACCTGCAAGTTATGTAAGCTGTCTAGTATCTTCTAAGATGACAATCTACTCAGCATAAGGTTCCAAAAAAGACAAAATGAGGTGCTGGATGTAAAATAGCACAATGCCTCAAACACAGATGTTAAATGATATAGTTGTTTGTATAAACTTTCCTGAGTGATTCATACTACTGGGAAATTTGATAGCATTTCAAAGTTTAAATGCGCTTGAAATCCCATTACACTGCAGTGTGAAGAAATAAGTTGGCAGGCTCCTCGTTCTAAATATAGCCTGGAAGTTTTCTTCAAATATTTGTCTCCTAGCTCTCACTAAATGTTTTGTATGTGACTCAGTCAAGTGCTCCCTGAAAAATATTTTACTTATTTTTGTCTCTTTTTTTGTGGTACCTGGAATCAAACTCACAAACTCACACTTGCTAGGCAGGTACTGTGCCGCTGAGATATATCCCAAGTATCCTGAAAAATATTTTAAACCTATGAATCCAAATGGTTCTTCACACCTCAGCCGCCAATGAAATTGTGGCCCTGCTTATCAATCAATCAGGAGACATTATTATATTGTTTTTAATGAGAGAAGACTTTTTTTTTTTTTGGCGGCTCCCCATTGACCTGCAGCAGCGCTGGTCTGGGTTGCCTTGAGTATGTGGGAATGGAACCACCGCTCAAAGAGACTGACTGCCTCCTTGAAGCAGGCATTTAAACAACTGAGCTAATGGGCAGGCCCCCGAGAGAAGACTTCTTAATGATAAGAACTTCACACAGAAAAGAGGAAAATAGCAAACAGCAGATCACTACCTGGGACCACCAATTCCTTCCATCAGAAGTCAGATATTAAAGTAAACAGCTTGTTGACATGAAATTGGTGATAAAATATGACGCCAAATCATGTCTTGTCATTTTCCAACGTCCCCACAGCCAGTCAGGAAATCTGGGGGTGGGCATGCTACTGACGTAGCATTTTTGTATTCACGTACATAGGACTCCCCTACCTCAACTGTTTTTAACACATTAGTATGATAAAGTCACAGTTCTGGGTTTGTTTTGTTTTGTTTTTTCACTTAATGCATTTTCTAAGAGATATTTAAATTTGCTACTTGTTTTTCCTCAAGGACTACAAAGCATGACCATACCATGATTTATTTAAACAGACCCTTTTGGAAAATACTTGGGCTTTTTGCTGTTATAAATAATATTCTGCTATACCTCCTTGTACAGGTTCCTTACGGATACTGAAAATGTCTGTACCATGATTCCCAGTGCTGTACTGCTGAGTGGAAAACACGTGTATACCATTTACATGTACCATTTTCATATAGCAGTTTTAAAAATTAAAAATATTTTAAAAGTATGTGGGTATACTGAAAACATTAAGGAGTATCACCAGACGTGCTCAAAGGAAAAGAATCTAAATTACTACCAAAAATATGAGAAATGAGTGCTTCCACACATTCTTTTCACTTATAGCATCAGTTAATACCAACGTTCAATTTTTGTCAATATTTTCCTTGTATAACTGGAGGACAGATATTGGGAAACAGGATAAAACATTCCAACGGGAAGGGAAACAAGGGAGGGGGGAAGGAAAAGACAAGGACAGGAAAAGGAAAGAAAGAATAAAGAGAAAAATGGAAACCAAGCTTGTGTTGATGGGGAGGGGAAGAAGAACTGAAGGGAGAAAAGGAGAATGAGGGAAAAAAGAAGAATTTAGATACGTGCAGGTTCAAATTCCCTAAGATGAATGCGATCAGTATGTATGACGAATAGGTACTAATACAAAATCAAGTTTAAAAAATTAAACACATAATAGCTAAAATTATGTGCAAAGCACTAGTACAGATGCTAGGGTGACGGTGATGGAAGAAATTCACCTTGACTTCACGATGCTTGTAATCTACCAAAAGATAGATTATAAAAGAAAGAAAAAATACAATAACGTGATCAGTACTGGACTAGTTAAGAAACAGGGCACTGTGACAGCAGGTCAGAGGGTTTCCCCCCAGATTTTTAGGGGATGAAATGCTTTCCTATAAAGTAAAGGTGTTGAGGCAAGAAGAACAGAACATAGACAGCTAGATGAAGAGATAAGGGAGAGAGGGAGGGACAGCTACTCCAAGAGAAGCCTCGAAGTAGGAGTGTACAAAGAGTGTAAGAAAATGAAGGTATTTCTGTCTGGGGCAGACCTGAACAAGTACAACCACTGCTGTGGATGGACAGATGATCTCTTTAGCGGTACTCGGATATGCAATGAAAATAAGGGAAAAAATTAATCAGGTTGCGAGGGACTGGTATGTGGCCAATCAAATCATTGCATTTACACAGGATCCATTTTTGCATGGATCAGAAAAATGACAGCACAACAAATGGTACTAGCAAGATAGTCTATCCAGCGAAGAGTTGCAGAACAGGGTGACTACAGGAAGAAGGTGAGCACAGGAAGAAATCAATGAGGAAGCCATGCGCTCAGGGGGTAAAACATTTAGTATAAGCAGACAGACAGAAGCAGATCCAGGCAAGGTCACTGGTCATTAATACAGAATAACATATGTTAATTTGGAAGTACACAGAACACAAATCCTTGACTGGATTCGAAGTATGCATTAACTTAAAAAATGGCAAGTCTAGATGTGTGCATTTTGCGTTTCTTGTTAATACAGTGACATCCAAAATATCCTTGTTGATACTTACTTGTCTGTTTCCTTAAATGAGATGTCTTATCTGGAAATAAAGGTGCAAGCCAGGAAGGCTCGATCTTTCCTATTCCAAATCCTCCCAGGCAGATACTGTTGTTGGCCTGATCCAGGGCAAGCCTCCTCAGGAGTAAGCCTATGACCTGGCTGTCGCCCCTCCGGATGCTTATTTCCAGCGCTTTCCTCACGTCTTGCTCACGGGATCCGCTGTTGAGAAGCAGTTCCACCAGTTTGGGACTGCTCTCTTTCTCACATACCTATCAAAGGGGGAAAAACCAAGGGTACATTTGAAAAAAACTATAAACTTCCTTTGGGGAGACTGGGAAATTGAATTTGGCCTGATTTTTCTCTACACAAAAAACTTAGTTTCAAACAAAATCAAAACTTATTCTTAAAAGATATTAGGAAAATAAAATTAGCACTAAAAATGTCAGAGTAATATAATGTAGGTAATCTGACACCCACAAGTGGGAGTTTATGAAAGCGATGTCATTAGGCTTGCTCTGGTTGTCTTCATCCATGGATTTTCATGTGCATTAATAAGTCCCCGTATTATTTTCTGGTGAGCACAGGTTTTACAGCATTAAATGTTCAGAATGCTTTTATAGGCAGCTCAACCTGTGCTCTGAACAGTCCTTAATTAGGCAACCTCTTGGTAAATGAATATATGGTTTTGACTGCTTACTCCAAAGTAAGGTAAGGTTGATTCAATGAATTTGTCCACACTATTGTAAAAGTATTGCTGCACAGAAGTCATCTCTGACAAGTAAGCTAAGTTCCATTAATAAAATACATAATCCATGGATGTAAATAGCTAGCATTTTTTGTTTTGCTTTGGTTTTCTGAGGCTAGGAATCAAATCCAGGCTTTGCACAGAGGAGACAAGATGTATTCCACTGAGACAGACCCCCAACCCCAAAGATCTGATTATTTCTTTTATTTTCTTTAATTTATTTTTTATTAGTAGATGCTTACAGTACATGCTTGCAGTCATTTTAGGGAGGTGGTTCATGTACTGAACATATCTTAACACTTTTTATTCCTCTTCTCCTTCCCACTCTCCTCCCTCCCTCCCTCCTTCCCAAGATTCCTTTCCTCATTATGTTTTTGTGAATAAAATGAAAAGTTTTATCTCTAGAAAGACTGTAGGAATTTGAGAGAAGAGTACAAAGCATTCTCCATGGTGACTGTAGTCCACTCACACTGGGTGCTTCTGCTATGTTGTGTCCCTAAAGAGAACTTGG